ATAATATTTTAAAATTTATTAAATCATAAATTTCAATTTCAAAAAAATTATAGATTCAATATAAAACCAATCACTTAATTTGATAAAAAAATAACTCAATAAAACAAATCAATAAAATTTTCTCAACATCCAATGAATTAATGAAATTAATCAATTTCTTTTATTGTCAGTCAAACCATAAAATTGATTGATTTCCTCTATCACCTCCTATTAGTCCGATTTCAGTACAGGTGAAGCGGTGGCAATGGCCAATCAACATCTGCTTTCGGTGACAATGACTAATCAGCACCTACTCTACATTGAGACCAAAGAACCCTGACTTTGACTAAAATAAAACCATTTTTGTATGTATATACTAGTTTCTTGGTAGGAAACTTCCATATCGTGTTGACTACGAGTTACGGTCCACGGTCCTCTTGGATTTGGATTTTCTTTAGGTTAAATACTAAATTTAGTCTCTCAACTTTAAAAAATACATATTTTTTATTTTTTAATAATTTTTTGTATTTTTTTATCCTTCGACTCTAAAAATTACATAATTTTGGTCCCTTCGTTAGTTAAGTATGATGTGACAGTTAAATAATTTTATGTGACATTATCGTTTAATTTTTTTTATGATGTGACAATAATATAGATTTTAATAATATTATATAAATAAATAAAAATAACATGTAGATTAATATTTATATTTTAAATAAAAACAAATAAAATTACCTAACTACCCTCACCCACCCAATCCCTCTTCTTTCCCTTCTTTCTTTCTCTTTCTTTCCCTTCTTTCTTTCTCTTTCTTTCTTTCTTTCCTGCCCTGGGTCTCCACCAGGCTGGATTCCGATGGCTGTGACGAACCCAGCCTGCTGGATCTCGTTGGAATCTAGCCTGCTGGGTCTCGTCGGAACCCAGCCTTGCTGGGTTCGAGGAAACCCAAATCTGGCTGGGTTCGAGGAAACCCAAATCTAGCTGGGTCTCCCCGAACCCAACAAGGCTAGGTCTCGTTGAACCCAGCAAGGCTGGGTTCCGACGAACCTTGCTGGGTCTCGTCGAACCCAGCCTGGGTTCCAATGAACCCTGCTAGGTTCGATGAGATCAAGCTGGGTTTCGATGAACCCAGCTTTGCTGTTTCGATGCTGGATTCATGCTTTTTCATTCTTCTTTGGATTTTCATTTCTAGTTGTTAATAAATTTAAGAGTTGATTTACAATTTGATTGTATTTTTGTTGAAGTTTGATTAGAGTTTGATTGATATTGTTTATTGAAGGGTTAATTTGATTTGATAAGATTTACTAAGTTTGAGGCTTGAATGAAACCCAGTAACTGGGTTCAATTTCTCAAGTTCTCTTGAGAAAAGAGAAGAAGAAGAAATGGGTTAAGATCGGTTTTGTAAAAAAGTGGAGATGAAAGAGCATTTAGAGAAGAAGAAGAAATGGGTTAAGATTGATTCTGCAGATGGAGTGGAGATTGATTTTGCAGAGAGTGAAGATGAGAAAGGAAGATGACATGTCGTCAAAAAAAGTCCAAATTAGCGCCTTTTAAGTTATTTTTGCCATGTCATCCAAAAAAAAAATAAAAAATGTCATGTGGCCAAGTTAACCGTAAAAATTGACAGAAAAATTAACGGAATGCATTTCGTATAGTTGAGGGATAAAAAAAATATAAAAAATTATTGAAAGATCAAAAATGTACAACTCACTAAAATTGAGGATCAAATTTAACATTTAACCTTTTCTTTACTTTCTCCATTTTTTTAAAAAAATTTTGTATAAAGTATTTTTTAAAGGTCAGGTGTCAATTTCAATACTTTAATTAAAATTTTTTTTTTAACAGGCTAATAAGGGGTTGCATCGTACCGCAACCCGAGGAGAGGGGGAAGTGCACTGTAAGATAGCTATTACCACTTCGTTCGAAGTGTTCGTTGCCTTTAATTTTAAAATTTAATATAATTTAAACTATAAAAACAAATAAATTTCCATAGGGATTTCAAGTCCGCGTGAAGTAGAGGCAATGGCTAGTCAGCACCTAATCTTAAGACAAGACAACCTTGACTTTGGCTAAAAGAAAACAACATTTTTATATATTACTTTCGTGGTAGGAAATTTTCAAATGGAAACTTGCATTAAGGTTTGTTTCGTATGTAATTTCTTAAAAAATATATATATATATGGGAAGGTCACATTAAATTTTCTTGCTAAAAAAATTGAGTGCAATGTAATTGATTATAATAAAAGTGCAATTGGTTATATTAGGTATATAATTAATTATAAAGAGTAAATAAATAATTATATATGATATAATTTAAGAAAAATGTTCAAAAAAAAATTCTCAAGAAAGTTAACATGTAATTGATTACTAATTTATTATAATCAATTGTAATGCAGCTCAATTTTCACATTAGAAAAATTAATTTTTATTGTAGCTTTTCCAAATTATTTCTCAC